GCTGCAAGCTCCCTGCTTTCCTCCAGGCACACCCTACAGGGCCTGTGTGTCCCTGGCTCAGCAGGACTCACCACAGCAGTGCTGGGGCCAGCAGCCATCATCTGAAAGGGAGGCTTGGCCCTGCTGCCTTCTCACAGATCCAGAGGTGCAGGTCACTGGGACCAGTGCACTGGGCGGGTTTGATGCTCCCACGGCTTATTATGGCACAGGTTCCATTCGATTTTGACTGCCATGGCCTGAATGGGGAAGCAACACATCAGGCACTGACACGTTCTTTCTACAAACCCTGCTGAGGCAGCTGAGGCCTTTTGTACTCTGGCAGAGGAGGGGTTGGATGCTGCTGTCAAAGGGGGATCCCCCAGTCCTCTCCTACAGATCTGACAGGCTGAAGGCTCAGTTGATGCATCCCTGCATTCCCCCTGGCAGGCTGAGAAACACTGTAAAAGGTTTGCAATGCTTGTGACACCCCTTTAGCTTCTCCCCTCTCAGCCTCACTGCTGGGGGTTGTTCCATGCCTACAGTGGGGAGAGCCAGGTGCCCCCTGAAAGCACATGGATGAGCAGAGGAGCTGTCCTGAGCCCTGGGTCTGCTTTGGGTGCAGGGCTGAGGATGGAGGGCCAAGTACCCAGAACCTGGCCAGACAGGTTTGTTTCTCCCCAGTGCTCTCAGACACTGCAAGAGGAAGAGGCAGCGAGCTGAGGAGGTGATGCACATGGCAGGGAGGAGCCCAGTCTCCACAGACAGGAAAGCTTGATCTCCCTTTGGAATCAAGAAGGCATGTGGGGAATAGAGGTGGTGCTCAAACACCTTGCCTAGGCCCCAGATAAAATTTGGGGTTTCTTCTGTCTACTCTTGCTGCCTCCTGCTTCGCATGCCCTGCATTCTACCCACCCCCCTGAGTCTTGGCTTTCCATTTGCGTGTCCTCTCATCACACCACTGCGCCCACCTTCCCTCAGTCCCTGCTGCTCTGTTGCTCCTTGTTTCCCAGGCCCTGTACCTGGAACTGGGTATAGATGTGATTTAAAATGCTTCCTACAGCCATGCCAGAGGAGGGGAGTTTTGGCAAGAGGCTGTGCTGCCACGTACCTTTCATAAAGGGAGCCATCCACCCAGAACCAGGCCTCTGAGGCCCCCTCATTCTCTGGGTCCTCTTCCTCCAGCCAGCCATAGTCGTACCAGGGAAAACTGCCCTTCTGCAATCCAATCCAGTATGGGATATCTGCATTCTTCAGGAAGGTCTGGAGAAGACAAAAACTGTGTTTTTCCATGTTTTATTCCGTGGCACTATGTACTGCAGTACTACGTACTTCACAGCAGGGTGATCATCTCCCCAAGGAGCCCTGGGGGATGCAAGGACAGCTGAGCAGCCCTGGTGCCCTGCTCCAGCTTGGGAAACATCCAGGGGTGCCAGAGCCTTTCTACCCCATGTCAACCACTAGCCATGTGCTCCAGCACAGCCTTGCACCGTCCAATGTTTTGGGAGGACAGGGGCCCCCAGAACTCTGCTAGCCCATCTGGGGACCCCATGGCTGGACACACCATCTCCTGCCCTCCACTCCCCCAGCACCCTACCGGCACAGTCCAACGACTCCAGGATTTGGTGACCAGGAGCTGAGAATATGTCTTCTCACACTCATCTCTGCTGTCTTCCCATGTCTTCTTCTCCGAGGAGATGAAGAGGCACTTGCCCCTGTAGAGCAGCCAGCCCGAAGGGCAGCAATCTGTGGGCAGGGGCACAGCTCAGGGGCTTGCTCAACCACAGATGCCCTGTGGGGTGACAAGGAACACCCCCACACCTTTCCAAAAGACATCACAGGCTCAGCATCTGCTTCAGGCATAGCTTCAGCCTTTGGACCACCCTGTCCACACCATGTGGTCAAAAAAGCCAGTGCTTGCCCTTTTTTACCTGCTGAGGGGTGCCAGTCACCTGGAGCACCCCCTCCCTGCTCCATCATCACCGTACCTATGGCTGTGCAGGAGCGCAGGAGGGCCACGGTGTTCTCGCTGCTGTTGAGCCTCCCCTGCACCTCCTGCACCTCCCTCTCTGTCTTGCCCAGGACCCCCGTGACACGACGCAGTTCCATGTTCAGTCTGTCCAGCTCCAGCTGGCTGATGTTGCCCTCGCGCCACGCTCGCTGCAGCTCCACTCTGGCCCATGCCAGTTCCAGTTGTGTCTGCTCCAGGCTCTGCTCCCGTGCCCTCAGCTCCTGTGACAGGCGGCCCTGCTCGGATGCGTGCTCGCGGGATGTGTCCCGCAGGCTGCGGGTGACCTGCCAGTCTGGGGACAGAGTGGGTGAGCGGGACATGGGCATGGGACAGTTCAGATGTGGCACTGATCCTGCTTAAGGCAGGTGGGATGGGCAAGGCAGGGAATTATCCATGATGAATGGGAAAGGATGGGAGGGAAGGACACAGCTGGGAAGTGTATGGTTTAGGGTTGGGCAGGATCTGGCAGGGGAGAGCAGGGCAAGGCAGGATGGGGTGTAGAAGTAGACACAGCAGGGTAAGGGCAGGGAGGGTGCAGCAATATGAGTTGGGGCAATGCCAAGATGGGAAGGAAAAGGAGCAGAAATGAGAGTAAGGTGAGGAAGATGGATGACGGGAGGCAAAGGAGGTGTGAGGGATGTGCGAGGGATACACGCTAGCTTGTGGCAGACCGGGCAGAGGGACTCAGCAGTGAGTGTGCATGAGCATGCCTCTATTCACCCACAGCACCCACCCCAGCCAGATGCCTCCCTCACCCAACCACTCCCTGCCCCAGATGTTCACAGTCCCCCAACTCACAGCAAACCCCCAGGGCCACAGTGGCCACTAGCAGCAGGCAAGTTGCCAGCAGACCCACAGGGATGCACCACCGACGGGACCAGCGCCCTGCATGATACAACAGACAACAGACATCACCTGAAGAGCTGGAAAACCCCTGACAGCCCCCACCACAGACCTCCTTCCTGGGTAGAGGCAGGAGAATGGTGGCATGACAGCACAGGTGGCATGGTCTGGGTGATGGGAATGGGAGGATCCCAAAACACCACCCACAACCAACACCACAACCATCCTGGGTCCGCTGGAATCCAGCTGGATACTCACCTGGGCTGGGCTCTGCTCCATCCCCATCCTGCCCTGCCAGTGCTGGCTGAGTGTTCTCATAGGGGCTCTCTGCCTCGTTCATGCCGAAGGCTGTTGGAGGAAGGCAGGGGAGAGCAGCTGAGGCCATGGGGCTGGGTACAGCAGGGACAGCGTGACAGGGCCAGTGGGCTCTTACCTGCCTCCAGCGCCTGGCTGGCCATGCTCCGGCCCCCCATCACTTTGGCAAACCTCAGGTCAGCATAAAGCTGTGCCATGTGGGCAAACGCTGGGCAAGCCCTGAGCCTTGCTGGCTCCCACTCCGCCCTTGGGATGCCTTTCTGAGATGTCCCTGTTCCCGGTGATTGCACCGTCTCTCGGAGGTGCAAAGGAGAAGTGCAGCCAGCATCTGCCGAAGCAGAATTTTGCTCTGCACTGTAGCAGATGGGACTAGTGAGGCATGGCTGTGGGGACCAGCACCCTTTCATTGGTCACAGAAACACCGGCCCGTCCCCTCCCACGCCCTAAAAGTGCTCATGGTCCCCCTAGGCACAGGGCACGGTGAGGGCATCACAGACAGATGTCACAGCAGTGTCAGAGCAAAGGATAGACACAAATCTGTGGGCTACAGGACAGCTAGTGCAGAGCAGGGCAATCCCACATACAGGAGCAAACTGCTGTGTAGACAAGGCAGAGGTGGAGAGCTGGAGGTCTTCACAAATAGAGATTTCTCCTCCCAGCCTCTCAGAATGGGATTTTCCCCATCATGCCCTCCCTGGTCCCCTCCAAAGAAGACCCCAGCTTTGGCATTGTTCCAAAACAGCCACAGAGGGCTACAAAAGTCAGTGAGATCCTCTTTGCCTTCCCAAGACCATAATCCCAGCATTCACAACACCTTCTTCTTGGTCCCTCCAGGCTCCCAGCACCTCAGAAGTCTCTACTGAACTGCATCCAGAGAAAGCCAGGTTTCAGAAGGGATGCACCCAAACCTTCCCACTGCTTCCCATTGCCTGTTACTGCCTCCCACTCTGTTTTACTGCCTTGCTACTGCCTCCCACTGTATTCCAGATGGCCAGATGGGCACATCTGAACACAGCCAGTCCCTGGCAGTCCCTGTGGAGGTGCACAGATGTGCACAGTAGAGCATAGTGTTACAAAGCCACTGTCCATCAGCTCTGCAAGAGCAAGGGAAGCTCTTCATCAGTGGAAAAAGACAAAAATTAAAGCCAGCTTCAAAGGGGACAGGAAGGAGGTTTAGAAAGCTAAAGGTTGGGCAGCCTCTACTCAACCTCCTGGGAGAAAATGGAGCATGTTCACCTGGGCATGCAGGGGCCCAGAACCAGGGAAGACATGCAGGGGAAAAGCTAATGGGATTTATTGGTGACTGCCCAATGTACCGCCTACTGTTTGGAAGCACTAGCCTGGGGGCAAGGGGAGAACAATGGGGCCAATTGTTACAACCCTTCAGTGTCTGGGATGTGGTTTTCCATAGTGTACTTGCAGGCAGAGTGGAGAAATGTGGCCATGATGAGAGAAGTGAAAGCTCATGCTGTGGTGTGGCCCTTCTAGGCGTTAGGGCAGCGATGCTCACTCAGATCCTGGAGTACCAAGAAGAGGAAACCCTCCATCCTGGATGGAGTCAGCAGCAGAGCTACTTGCTCCCTGCTGGAAGCCAGACCTGCTCTCCCCTGCCCTAGGGAATTTGATGAATTCTCTGTAAGCTGAGTCCTACAGCTCTCCAGCCCCGAGATGCACCGCCCCAGTGCCATCCCAGGGGACACTGAGCAGTTTCGGGGTGTGGAGGGGAGCGAGATGGTGGTGCCCGGCCAATGACAGGGCGGCGGTGCCGTGGCCGTACTTCCCCCTCCGCTGCACCTCAGCACACTTCTGCTTCTGCAGAAACCAGCTGCATTTTCCCTTTGAAGCGGAGCAGCGCCCGCAGGGCCATCGGGGCCGCCCGGGGCATGGCCCAGAGTGTGGTCTATGCCGACCTGAAGTTTGCCGCGGGCCCATCCACCGTCCCCGATGAGGATGACAGTCCCTACGAGAACGTGCCGCTGGGACCGCTGTCAGCAGAGCCCAGCCCAGGTGGGAACCCGGCGGCAGTCCCGGGCAGGGCGCGGGCAGGGGCCCACGGGCTGATGCCTGCGGGCTCTCCTCTCTTGCAGGGCGCTGGATCCGGCCATGGCGTGTCCCCACAGCGCTGCTGGCAGCCAGCCTGCTCCTGCTGCTGCTGCTGCTGGTGGCCGTCGTGGCCCTGGGGGCTAGCTGTGAGTCGGTGACCGCCGCGGGGTGGGGGCACCGGGAGCGGGCGTCGGGCTGGGCTGCGGGGGCTGTCAGGGAGGAGGGGTGCCTGGGGCTGGGGTCCGGGGTTCTTGCGTGGCCACCACGAGTTGCCTCCCACTGCCTTTCCCACTGCTTTTCCCACTGCCTACCACTTGTTTTTTTCCCTTGCCTTTTCCACCACCTTCCACTGCCTTCCATTGCCTTCCCACTGCCCCCCACTCCCTGTCACTGCCTCCCATTTCCTCACACTGCCTCCCGTGGTCAAACATTGCCTCCCATTTTCTCCCATTGCCTTCTCTTCTCTCCCATTGCCTCCTAATCCCTCTGACTGCCTCCCATTCCCTGCCACTGACTTTCCACTGTCCTTCCATTTCATCTCACTGCCTTGCATTGCCTCCCTATTTTATTCCCACTGCCTCCCATTTCCTTCCCATTTCCTTCCCATTTTCTTCCCACTGTCTCCCGTTGCCTCCCACTGTCTTCCACAGCCTTCCAATGTCTCCCCTCCATTTGCCACCCTTGGGGCTTCCATTCCCTTCCCACTTGAACCTCCAGGACAATCTCCACCCACAGCCAGATACTCTTATCCTACCCTCCCTTGCAAGAGCCATGCCCCAGGCAGGGCCCCATGCCCACGTCCAGCTCACCTGCCCTGTCCCCAGACTGGCAGGTTTCCCGCAGCCTGCAGGACACCTCGCGTGAGCACATGGCCGAGCAGGGCCGCCTGTCACAGGAGTTGAGGGCACGGGAGCAGAGCCTGGAGCAGATACAAGTGGAGCTAGCATGGGCCAGAGAAGAGCTGCAGCGAGCGTGGCATGAGTACAACATCACCGAGATGGAGCTGGAAAGCAGGAGTGTTGAGCTGGGGCATACCCAGCAGAAGCTGGTTGTGTTGCAGAAGGAGATGCAGGAGGTGCAGGGGAAGCTCAACATCAGCGAGAGCACTGTGAGCAGCCTGCGCTCCTGCGTGAACACAGGTAGAGCCTGAGAGGGTTGGGGCACAGGTGATGTTGCTGCTGTGAGGTGCAGGAGCTGAACTCAGCCAGGCTGAGCTCCCCAAGCATCCACAGAAGGATGAGTGCCTGAGATGTATCCCTGCCCTCAGATTGCTGTCCCAGGGGCTGGGTACTCTACAGGAGCAAGTGTCTCTACATCTCAGTGACAAACAAGACCTGGGAGGACAGCCAGCAAGACTGCGCAAGGAGATCTGCTCAACTGCTGGTCCAGGACGACTGGCCACCATTGATAGTGCCGGTACAGAGCAGGGGGGCTGTGGTACCCCAGGAGGCTGGCAGAGCCCCGCGGGGCCAGCTGAAGCAGTTATCTGTGGAGGTGCCAGGGCGGCACCATGAGTCCTGGGTTCCCAACTGGCAGTGTGAGGGGACAAGCACAGCCAGGCCTGGGGCTCCTGGGCACCTGGCAAAGTGCGGGTCATGAGAAAGGTGTTTGACAGATTCTCTTCTCCCCTAGCAATTCGTGCATGAGTCTAATGCAAACTACTGGATTGGAACAAGAATTTTTTATGAGACAAAGAGATCTGTGTGGGCAGAGTAAGTGCAAAAGTCCTTGGCACAAGCACCTGCCCTTTTGCCATACTAGAAAGGTGCTGTTTTGCCCCTGTGACACCCCTAAATAAAAGAGTTGATGGTTGTCGCTCTAGATTAGGAACGGCTAAGAAGAATGACACAGACTCTCTTGTGAGTTGAACAGGAGAGCAAAGTTTATTATTCTTGATCTTTTTTTATAGACTTCTTCGAGAAAGTCTGAGAGGTAAAACTCACGTTGGTTATTAAAGTAACACATGCACCATCATTGGTTAACCTCACCCCATGACTGTTTCCTAAACACCACCTTCAAAGATTGTTGTCCTTTACCAAGGACTGTTTGGATTCTTTCTCATGCTTTCTCAGGCCAGAATGAGAAGCCTGTGTGACTTAGTTTCACACAGGCTCTGTTCCTTGCTTTTTGCATTTAGCAAAAGACAGATGGTCCCATGAGCAGTGCCCCAAGGGAGGAGGGTGAGGGCAGAGCCAAACTGTGGGGTGCAGTGCCGAATATCCAAGTGGCAGAGAATAAGAGCAGGAGGAGGAATGTGACATTTCCTCAGGCTGATCTCTGTGCCAGGTGCCTTGCCTGCCCCAGCAGCACTGGCATCTATGGGAAGTGGTGTCCATGGTGAGGAGGTTGTCACTGCTGCCCTGAGATGTGCCCTCTTTCCTAGGAGACGCCGTAATTCAGACTGCTGGTCAGTAGTTAACAAGGAAATGTGGAGTTTCTCATGTGCGCGTCGATTCCCGTGGATATGCGAGAAATCCCCAAAGCTGACCAGTGCATCTGAGACCCGACCTCCTTTTCTGGCCAAGGACTAACTTCTGCCACCCCCCTCCATCACTGGACTCAGGAACAGGACCTGGGGGTGCACCCTGAGATCCTGTCCCCTGTGCACATTTTGCCTCAATTGCATTGCAAAACTGCTGGGAAAAGGTGTGTCTATTTTAAAGCAAGGATTATGAAAAACATAATTCCCCTCTCCCGCACTCATGCATACACATAGTATACTGCTTTGTACTGTGCCACTGTATGTCCCTGTGTGCCCTGGCCAGTGCATCTCTGACCCAGGTCTCCATTGCAGAACCCAGCTTCCTCCTTCTTTGTTACCCTAAGGCTGCCAGGGGTGCAGGATCTGCCATTTGCATCTTTTTGGAGCTGGGGGATGACACACTGATGTAGTCAACCTGTCCGTTCTGGGGAAACCTGCAGATTAACAGCCTGTCCCTTCTCTCAGCATTGACAGCTCTCATCCTGCCCTTTCTTCTACCTTCATCACCTGCCCAGGGCTTTGGGCTGAGTCCTGCCTGGGAAGGGTGCTGACAGTGATGCCTTCAGCATGAGAAAATGCTGGGAAGCCCTGAGATGATATAGGAAATGGGGTAGTGCTGGGGAGCTTTGAGAACAGAGTAGATGAATGGGGAAACTCTGAAACCATGGGAGGAAAATGAGGGTAATGAAGAGCCCTAAGACAATAGGAGGTGAATGTGGGAATCCCGAGACCATGGAAAAAGAAAGGGGGTGCAGTGGAACTGCAAATGAAGGTGGTCATGAAAAAAAGGAGATGCATTGATAAGACAGTGGGAGAGAGGAATGAGCACTGGGGAGACTTGGGAATGTGGGGAAAAGGGAAGATCTCTTCCACCCAGGGGGAAAGATCCCTAAAAATGTGGTGGGACCTTATCTGCCAAAGGAGGGTGATGAGAGATCCCTGTCCAGGACCCAGTTGGGTGTGGGGGTGAGCCCAGAAGCAGCGCTGACCCTCCCTGTCTCACTCAGTGTTTCTGCAGAGAGGGGAATGTGTTAGCAACCATTTTGCTAAGGTGGACTTGAGACAGCCTGTTGCGTCCCAGGAGTAAGTGGGGGATGCCATGAGTGGAATAACCTGGGATGAGACCCCTGTTTAGGAACATTCTCACGCAGTCCCGTGTTGTTTTATGTACCCCGGTTTCCAAGTGACATCACCCCAGTTACATCATCCATGTTATATCACTCCTTGTCCCTACCCCAAAAGTTATGTCATCCCTGTTCTCCTTCCCAGTTCCAGAATGTTCTCTGTTCCTGTCTTCCCTATTGGTCCCTGTTCCCTGTCTCTCCACCCCTGGACCCTGATTGGTTGTTACTCTTTGACCATGCCTTTGCACTGCCCCTGTGCCTTCAACCCATTGGCCCTCAGTCCTGAGGCTCCGCCCTTTCCTGGTTGTATAAAGCCCTGAACCCCTCCTTGTTCTTTGTCCCTGGTTCCCTTCAGTGTGAGGTTAATAAACTCCACTGGAATACCACACAAAGAGCCCCTCTCGTGTCATTCATCAACCATCAGATACCAACAGGGTGTGTGAGTGTCTGGTGCGCTGAGCTGTCCCCTTTCCGTGGAGACAAAGCTCTTGGGAAGGCGGTGGTTTTGGCATCTCCTGTTGTGCCACTGGAACAGCCAGCATGGCTTCACTACAAGTCCTGCCCAAACAACCCAGTGGCCTAAAACTGAGTGATTGCATCAGTGAACAGGGGAAGGGCTACACCTCTTCTCTCTGGACTTCTGTAAAGGCCTTCAACTCAACTCCCCTCTGAACTTGAGAGAAATGGATTCAGAGGGTGAACTGTTCAGTGGGTAAGGTTGGACAGCTGCATCCAGAAGATAATGGTCGCTGGCTTAGTGTCCTGATGTGGACACTAGTGATAATGTAGTGATAATGGCCCTCAGGGATCCACCTTGGGACCAATGTTATTTAGTACTTTTGTCAACAATGTGAACTATGGGATCGTATGCACCCTTGCCAAGTTTGCAGATGACACCAAGCTGAGGCATGAGGACACACCTGAAGGACAGGAAGCCATCCAGAGGGACCTGGACAAGCTTGAGGAGCAGCCCATGGGAACATCATGAGGTTTAACAAGGCCACGTGCTGGTGCTGCACCTGGGTGAGAGCAGCCCCCGGTATCAGCACAGGCTGGGCATGAACAGACCCAGAGCAGCCCTGCCCAGAAGGACCTGGGGGTGCTGGTGGGTGAGAGGCTGGACATGGCCCAGCCATGGCACTCACAGCCCAGAGAGCCAAACGTGTCCTGGGCTGCATCCAGAGCCCCGTGGGCAGCAGGGGAGGGAGGGGATTCTGCCCCTCTGCTCTGCTCTGCTGAGACCCAGCTGGAGCATCCAGAGCATCCTGGAGGGACAGGGACCTGCTGGAGCCAGCACAGAGGAGGCCACCAAGATGATGAGAGGGATGGAACACCTCTGCTGTGAGGAGAACTGGGATTGTTCAGCCTGGAGGGAAAAGGCTTCAGGGAAAACTTATTGTGGTTTCAGACTGAGAGGGCAGCTCCTAGGAGAGCTTCCATAGAAGGAGGCTGGTGGAGCCAGCCCAATGGCATGGCAAGGCTGGGACAGGATTGCAGATCCTCTACAGTCTCAGCTATCACAGAAAACAAAGACTTGCTGTGTCTGGCTTGTCCTGGAGAGTCCAAAGGTCCTCCCTGCTCCTAAAGCTGAGCTCCAGCGTGCACTGCCCACGGTGCCATAGTTTTCACTACAAGGACACTGCAGACCCCATCCAGCCTCTGGTTCATGGTTTCCCCAGGCTGGTTCAGCATGGCTGCTCACTTGCCCATCTTCATCTGTGGCTTCTCCTTTCTTCCTAGCTGCAGGATTTGCACTTTTACCCACTCCAGTACCAGCAGACTCCTATCAAACCATTTCTCCAAGCTTCTCTGTACCCTAGTCGTGCCCTCCAGTATACACACTACTGGTTTGGTATTGCTCCCCAACCAGCTGAGGCCACCCCCTACCATCCAGTGCACTGATGAAAGCTCCAAGGAGCAGAAACCCCAGGATCAGCCGTTCAGCAATTGCCAGGGGAACGAGGGCGTTACTGACACCCACTGCACCCCTCACACCATTCAGGTTTTCCACCCACCCTCTTCTCTTCTCCTGACCTCATATATCCCCACTTTGCAAGTGAGGAGACCATGAAAAGCCATGTGCCAGACATCAAAGGTTGATAAATGTCCCCCATTGCTCTCCCCTTATCCACAACCCACTGTTCCCACAGCAGCAGGCAGGTCAGACAGGCATCACCTGCCCTTGGTAAATCCACCTCCATACTGGATGGTTGCATGCTCAGGAGTTGTGCTACATCTTCTTCCTGGTATCGAGGTGGGAGAACAAAGCTCAGCTCCAGACAGGTGATGTAGGGATAGGAAAGGGAAAGACATGAGCCGGCAGCAAATAGTGGCAGAGGCAAGGGGCAGCCAGGAAATCTGACAGAGTCCTCAAAGGGACACCAATGACACCATCTTACCTACCTTCACCAAACCACCCTGAGTGGAAGGCAGCAGAGGTGAGCTGGAAGGCTGGTACAGATGTCCCCTTGTTGAGGAGTACCTCTGCTCCGGGTAGCTGGGCTTGCAAGGTGCAGTTAGAGATGCAGATGGAAGTGCAGACTGAGCCCTGGGTGGGAGCCTGAGGCAAGAGGCTGTGAGTTGCCAGCGCCTGGGACAGCAAAGGGCAGGAAGATGAGTGATGCCAGACAGGTACATGGACACTGAGAGAGACAGCAGGAGCTAGGAATTGCTGACCTTTTGGATAACCAGGGAGAGGGGTGACAAAAGCAAGGTGGATGGACACAGAGAGGGGGCAGGAGAAGAGAACTGAGGAGGAGGACCAAGGTCTGAGTACAAGCAGACATTGAGGGGATAAAAGCCCAGGGGTTCCTTTGCTGGGCATCCCTCCTCAGAGGAACCACTTTGAGCTGTTTGTGTTACTGTGCTGTGAATAAATGGCTTTGTGGAACAAGACATCTGAGACTCCTCCGTGGGAAACCTGCAACAAGGTGAATGCCCATGAGCATCACCCCACAGTCCCATCACCCAGTGCTCACCCTGTGCTGGGGTGTGCCTGTGGCAGTGAACGCAGCTGGGTTCTCACCAAGGCTGGCCACTGTCAGCACTAGCCCCAGCAGCAGGTTCTTGTAGTGAATGTCATCCTCATTGGGGTCTGCAAGGCACATGAGGGCAGTGAGCTGGGGCCTCAGCAAACTGCAGGTCAGTGCAGGCCACACTCTGGGCCATGCAGGTGGCTGGGCAGCAGTAGTCCAGGAACTCAGTCCTGTCCTTCTCCATTCTGGTCAGGTGACAGAGTGTGGCAACGACCATGCTGCATGGAGACACATCTTCATAGGCAGAAAAGCAGAAGTAGCTGCTTTATTTGCAAAAAGTGGGTTTTCTTCTTGTGTATGCTCTCAGTTTAGGGGGTGGGGGGTGAATGAGCTCCCTACTGCTCAGCATACTCTGCGTTCAGGTTCCCAGGCTGTGATGAGCCCAAGCCCATGGGTACAGGCCACAGCACGGCTACACTTCCCCATGCAACACCTTCCACCTCCCAGTGCTGCTCAGGCTGACAGGGTGCAGTGGCTGTGGGGGCTTGGTCTTTTGCATGTGCTGGGAGGGAGTCCCAGCAAGGTCTGTGCCAGAGCTGCAGGCTGCTGGAACAACCCTGGTTGTTTATACCGAAACCAGAACTGCCTCTGGATCAAACAACTCCAAACCAATCCCTAGCAGGCCTTTTAGGTTCTCACACATAACCCAGCCTCAAAATAAAGCGAGGGTGTTTGCTGGAATCTCCTCAGACTGGGCAGGCACCAGCAAACAAGCTGCTGCCCAGCCCAAGTCCATGGGCCTGCAGAGGCAAAGGGTCTCTCAGCACCATGCCCCAAGAGGCAAAAGCCCCAGGCAACCACCTCGACCAGAAAGCCCAGAATTTCCAAGGGATTGTGCCAGCCTGCACAGGAGCTGCTTCACGGTGCTGTTGGGCCATGGTGATACTTGGATTGCTGCTGGCTCAATACTGGCTCCTGGCCACAGAGCAGCAGATGCGATTTCCTACTTGTCAGTGATGCAACCGAGCCTGAGAGCTGGAGGATGCACCTCTATCCTACCCCCACCATACCACAAAGCCAGCTGCAATTGTTGGGATAATTTATTGGCAATGTACAGAGTTTTGGAGGGTAAAGAGGTCTGGGCTAGGAGGCAGAAGAGCCTGAGAATGCCGATGGACTGGGGTCAGGCAGGGAACAAGGGTGGTGGCACAGGCTGGGGGTCACCACAGCCATCAGGGCCTCACACAGCTGTAGGTGGTGTTCCCCCAGAGGAAGGCAGGAGGTGAGGACTGGAGCCACTGCAGAGAGGCTGCACTCTGCTTGCAGATCCATCTGAGGGCTTCTGTGCAGGCGCCACCTAAAAGTCCCAAGCCTGACACCCTGCCACAGGCCTGGAAAGACCTGGTGTAGCGCTGGGTTGGGAAGATCCTGCAAGGGAGAGAGTGGGCTGAGATGGGATGGGGAGGAAGAACTTAGGCTGTCCCACCAGCAACTGCTGCAGCCAGGGACCAGACACTGCACAGGGATGCTGTGGAGGCAAAGTTCACCCTCCCCATGGAGCACTGTCTCCTGTCAGCCTCCTCCCAATTAGGCCACATGTCCTGATGCCCCCAGCCCCATCACTCACAAAGTACCCCCAGCTCAATCCTAGCAGGGCTCAGCACCAATCAAACTGGAACCCTGCTTTTGTGGGATTCCCTGCAGCCCCTTACCCAGGCAGAGTGTGGGCACCAGGGTTAGGCCCCTGATAAAAATGCCCCTTCCCTAAAATGCTCCAGTGAAATCCTGGGAAGAAAAGAGGTGGCTAAAATATTGATCACATCCCTGCATGCCTGTCCCTGTCACCACCCCGAGCCCTGACGCTGGACCCTCAGCACACCTAGCTGGGAACAAGCTGATAGCCTCACCCTTCTGGTGTGGTGCCATCTAGCCACTTCCAGTCAGACCTGAAGCCATCCTTCTTCAGCCCCACATGAAAGGCATCCGTGTTAGCTGTGCGCACCAGGAAAGCCTAGCACAGGAGAGGACCCACATGAGCCCCTGGGGGGACATCCCCTGGGGGCTGGGCTGTATGGGCACAGCATTGCCAGCTCCCTGCCTGGAGGCTTTGGTAGGCTTTGGGCACATGGGCCAGGAAGCTGAGACAATGCTCTGTCTGCATGGGTGACTGCTGAGGGACAGTGAGGTGGTCACCAGGACAGCCCAATGCTAGCAGGGAGTTGTCAGGCCAGGCTGGGTGCACTTACCAGAGTGGTGTTGGCTTGGATGGTGACCAGCTGTGCCCCTCTGGAGCAGCAATCCTCTCTGCTCTGCTCCCAGCTCTTTTTGGCAGAGGAGAAGTAGTAGCACTGCCCCGCATCCCAGAGCCAGCCAAGTGGGCAAAACTGGCATTGCCCTGCACACCAGAAACACAGCAGGTGGGATGGGGCAGCTGGCAGGGGCTGCCACCAGCCCCCAGCCCAAGGGACCAGGAGAGTGACAGCGGACAGTAAGGGCACTGTTGCCCTGAGAATAAGGCCCTCGATATTGTTTTTCTATAAGTTTTAGCCACTTTCCCAGGAAAGTAACTATAAACATAGGTGTTTATACATTCCATTAAAGATATGCCTTTTGATGGACATCTCTCATGGCCAGTGCAGTTGGGAAGGTGTTAACCTGACTATCCAGTCCCTGGTCATGGTCAGAAATCTATAAATACTGAGAGAAAAAATAAAGTTTTCTCTTTCCTTCACCACACCTCGAACTGCGTTTGTGTGACTCATTTCAACAGGGACAAGGGCACCAGCCAACCCACCGTGTACATCTGCTCCACAGAGACCACTCTGCACTTGCCCTCACTTGGGAGCCCAGCTTCCAATCCCAGAGCCCTGGGAACGGGGGCTAGTTACAGGAACATGCTGGCATTGAGCAGAACAGGGGGCTGCAGGTTTGGGGAGGTGATACAAACACAGTTTCCAAAGCGCTGGGAACTCAGTAAGGTTTCAGCTGCACCAGAAGCTGATGCCACCTGACACAGGGATGCTGGTGGCATCCATGAGCCTGGTGCTGGTGGCATGCCCAGGTAACACTGAGCTGTCTGGGGTCACCTCTTCTAAAGGGGTCCCAGCAGTTCAGCCTGTTCAGCAGTGCTGGGGCAGCTCTCCACGCCATAAACTGGAAGAACAGGCAGTAAAGGTGAAGGAATATGTAGGGGTAGAGCTCAGGGAATCATCCTTGAGTATGGACAGATCCTGCTGCTTGAAAGAAACAGTAAGGCCCTCTCCAAGCCTTATCCAGGAGCCAGCCAGGATCTCTTACCTTCCAGTGTCTGTTTCCCATAGCTGGGGCTCTCCTCTGTACTCCAGAGACCGTGTGCACTGCTCGTCTGTTGTTGGACTAAATCTACAACAGAAGAGCACAGGTGTGTCCCAGCACCTCTGGGCCCCAGCAGCACCCAGTGTCCTCTCCCACAGGACAGCCCCATGGCTGTGGGTGTGGTGTGCCCTGCTTTAGGTACAACAAGCCTGCAAGGTCCCTGCAGATTTTGCTGTGTTTGGGAGCCCTCCACCTAACAGCTTTCAGGGAAAGTGCTTCTGCCTTTCAGTTTCAGTATCAGCGCTCTCCCTCCCGCCTTTCTTTCACTGCTATGTGATACAGTGGCTTTCCCCAAGCCCACGCTGTTGCCCCAGCTTCCTTTACCATCCACGTAGGTGGTGTCTTGCCTCACCAATTTTCCTGCTTGCCCCAGAACTCTCAATGCCCTCAGCCCCACGCAGAAGGGCCCATCTCCATGAAGCTGCAGCTCAGTCTGTCAGTACACAAGTGCTATGGTACCAGCCCTGACCCCAGGACCCCCTCTGCAGAGATCTGGGCACTGGATGACTGTACTTACAGTGGAAACTCAGGCTGACCAGGATGATTTGTGCCAACAGGAGCGTCAGGGAGAGGAGACCCAGACTGAGGGCTGCCCAGTACCAGGGCAGGCGTACTCGTTGCTGAGGAGCTGAGAAAAGGAGTTAACTCTGGGAGGGGAGGCAGGGGTTGGGAGGAGCAGTGGTGAACCTGGAGCCAGGAAATATATGTGAATCCCAGGTGGGATGTCAGGGAAAATTGGGGGAGAGCCCTTTTGCAGCAGCTTGATTGTCCTAGAAATTATCTCTCTGCACACACTGCTTGGTGGGGAGAGCAGAGAGGGGAAATATTTGTGCTGTGGCATGGGTGTGCAGTGGGTATTCCCTGCCCTTGAGCCCCTCCTGCCCCCTACCCCGAGAGCAGGCAGTCTGCAAAAGGGCTGGAGAGGAGCTGTTTGAGAGAGGACACCCAAAAAGAGGGAGTGGGGGGAGCAAGTCTGGGAGGATATTTCTGGGGAAGGCAAGGGGCTGCAGGAGGGCAGAGAACCCCCTGAGAGAGCTGGGGGGACATTACCTGGTGTGGCAGGAAAGCGCAGGTCAGCATACATGACACCCTCTTCCATCCCTTCCTTGGTCTCCTGCTCTGCAGCCCACAGGGGCAGCGTCAACCCCCTCCCAGCCCAACTTCTCAGACGGGCGTAATGCAAAATGGAAAGTGTCACTTCCTGGTGGGGTCCCCAGAGGCACCACCTGGGACAAAAGCCCAAGCGGGGGTTTGTGGGACTGCCAGACACTTGGGGCAAGGGACAGCCCTTGAGGCCAGCATCCTGGCACCCCAGCAGGAGGGAATCACACACTCCAGGCTTTGGGGCAGCCAGCAGTGGGAATGGCTCAAACATGCAGCCAGGGCTGGGCTGGGCAGCCATGTCATGGAGTTGTAAAGGACCTTAAAAGTCATCTCATTCCAAGCTCCCTGACAAGGACTGGGACACCTTCCACTAGACCAAGTGGTTCAGAGCCCCATCCAACCTGGCTTGAGCACTTCCAGGGACAGGGCATCAACAGCCTCCCTGGGCAAACTGTGCCAGTGTCTCACCACCCTCACAATAATCTCTTCCTAAAAAAGGAAAAGCCATATGGGAAGCAGCTGAGGTCACTTTGTTTGTTCAAGCCTGGGGAAGAGGAGGCTGAGGGGAGACCTCATCACAGCCTGCAAGAGGAAGCAGAGGGGCAGACAATGATCTCTTCTCTCCGGTGACCGGTGACAGGACCTGAGGGAATGGTATTAGGGAAGGTTTAGGTTGAATATTAGGGAAAGGTTTTTCATCCAGAGGGTGTTTGAGTACTGGAACAGGCTCCCCAGGGAAGTGATCGGAGCACCAAGACTGACAGAGTTCAGGAAGTATTTGGACAATGTTCTCAGGCACATGGGGTGATTGTTGGGGGGGTGTTGGACTTTAATGATCCCAGTGGGTCCCTTCCAAGTCAAGATATTCTGTGATTCTGTGATGAATATCTAGCCTAAACCTGCCCTCTGACAGTCTGAAGGCATTCCTCCTCCTCCTATCACTGCACATCCTTGTTAAAAGTCCCTCTCCAGCTCTCCTGTAGTCCTTCTGGAAGTGGAAAGCTCCTTAAGGTCTCCCCAGAACCTTCTCCAGTTTGAACAAGTGTGTCTCTCTCGGTCTGATCTGCCCTAGGGACTGCAAGGGAAGACTGGTATTCTTGGGGCACAGACCACATTCCCACGCCCCTCTCTCCAAGGAGCAGGGCCATGGGCTGTTTGCTTACAAGCCCCTTTTTTTTACATAGGGTTGCAGCTGCATCTCAGCCCTGGAAGATGGTGGGAGCTGTGTGCTCGTTCCCCTGCCCCAGCGTCCCGGGCTGCCGTGATGGCCATCCCTGCCGTGAGGAGGAGCGGCAGAGATCCCCCGCACCCCCGGGAGCCCGCGGGCAGACACCGACCCTGCTCCGGGCTGGCGGCTATCGCTGGGGGAGGCTATCTCGTCCAGGACTACGTTTCCCAGCGGCTCTTCCCGGGGCTGCACATGCTCGATGCGGCTCCCGGCTCCTCCCGGCAGCTCCCGGCGCGGCGCCCGGTGCGGCGCAGGGGCGGTCGGTGCGGTTCCCGGTTGTCGGTTCCCGGTTGTCGGCTCCCGGTGCGGCTCCCGGTGCCATCGGCGGCGCGGCGCTGCCCGGGGCGGTTCTCGGGGCGGTTCCCGGTTCCCGGGGCGGTTCCCGGTGCAGCTCCCGGCGGTTCCCAGTGCCACCCCCGGCGGGGCATCCTCCCGGTGCGCCCTCGGGAGAGCACGGCCGAGACCCACCCCCGCCCCGGGCCCGAGCGCCCCCAGGCCCCGCGGGCCGGCAGCATGCCCCGCGGGCGAGCCTGGACGCAGGCGGAGGTCAGCAGCCTCCTGTCGCTGGTGGGGGGCTCGGGGGAGGCCGCGCTGCTCATGGCCTCCACGTCGCGACCCAACGAGGCGCTCTGGCGGGAGATCTCCCGGGGTCTGGCGGCGGCCGGCTACGGGCGCAGCGTGGCCCAGTGCCGCTCCAAGTGGAAGGCGCTCAAGCAGGCTTTCCACTCGGAGCGGGAGACGCGCCGGAGGGCAGGACACCACTCGCCCCGGCTGCCGCCGCACTATCGAGCCATGAAGAGCATCTGGAAGGCGGCCGGGCGGCCCGTCTTCGGCGAACGGAGGATGCCAGGTGCGTGCCGAGGACGGGTGTGGGCTTAGCAGGGTGGCTGGACTTGAGGTGCTGGTGGAGGACTGGTTCTGCGTGGACATTCAGGGTCTGTTGATGGTCTTTCTCTTCCCCTAGACGTGGTGAAGCTGCCCTCCAGAAAGCGCAGGTCAGCCCTTGCCACACGCTCTCCATCCTCATCAGAGGCACCAGGTAACCGTGGGCTCAAGCAGCCAGAGTGGGGCTTGTCCTGGCTGCGGGGTGGCAGACACCCCTCTTCCCCCAGTTACTGAAGTTCTTTTCTGCACCCCTTCATCTCCTCGTGCAGAGCAGGACGTTGGCGGGGACACCCCCAGCACACTGCTGTCTCCGATGCTGCAGCGTGCGAAGGACGAGCCAGACACTCGTAAGTACTGAGCTGCCCTGCTGCACTGAGCTGCATGGCCACGGCTCCAGCCCCAGCCCCTGCCGGCATCCTGGCAGTGGGAGGCTTTGAGGATCAGGGCATCTATCGCATGTCCCTCAGCAGGGTTGGTCGATGATGAATGTGTTTGGACTTCTGCCTCCGCAGGCTTTGGCTCCAAACCAGCCCCAGAGCATGTGGGGATGGGGATGGCTGGGGTAGGGCAGGAGGGAGTCCCAGCCTGAGGGCATGGCAAGGCTGCTGGCTGCCCTATGGCAGATCATGAGGCAAGAGGCCTGGAAGGGGCAGTGGCCCTGATAGAGCCCAGGAATCTCGTGGCTGGTGGCATTACAGGCCATGTGACTCCCTTCAGCAGTTCCTGGCTCCTCCCTTGCCCAGTTACACAGTAAATTTTCAGATGAGTTTGGGCTGTGTGTGAGGGCCAGAGCTGCCTGCAGCTCCCCTGCCCTTCAGTCCACCCACTGTATCCTGCACACCCCTTGCTGTTCACACTCCTGGGGATTTGGCACTAAGGTCATGCAGGGTACATCCCTGAGCCTGGTTTGCGTGGGCACACCAGCCATCTTCCCACACTGGGTAACTACCTTCTGTCTCCCAAAATTCCCCCTGCAGTTTCAAGTGGATGTGGGATTCTCCTTCTCTTCCAGTCCTAGTCTGTTGTGTAGCGTTGCTGCGCGCTGCTCCGCCGCTGCTGCCTTCCAGCCCAGAGGTGGCTGCATTGCAGTGGTGGGTGAGTGACTCCTGCTTTTGTACCTAGCTCTGAAACGCTTTGGGGCCCTGCAGGGCACTCTGGAGCTGTGGCTAGGGCATGTCAGGCTGAGGGGCTGGCCGGGGCAAGCCGGGCAGACCCCAGGCTGGTGGTGACCCACCAGCAGGTCCCTTCAGAAGGCGTATCTCTCCTCTCTGCTTTCTCCCAGCAGCTGGTGGGGACCACGTTACAGGAGTGCAACCCACACCCCCTGCCATGCCATGTAAGGCTTTTCTTGCCCTGCTCAGCCCAGTAAACTCCCTCAGCCCCACAGGCAGGGTCTGATACGGTTCTCATTGCAGACGCCGGTTGCTGCTTCCCTCCCCTCTCCCTCCTGGGTGAGTACCTTGCTCTGGCTACCATGCCTGTGTGCCCTGGGGCAAGAGGTAGCTGCAGCTCACGGGCTGTGTCTGCTCTCCTTCCAGGCTGTCACACTGACCCGAAGCAGGAAGGATTTGAGGGGAAGGCCGGTAAGTGTCTCAGCTCTGAGCAAGTCCTTGTGCTCCGGGGCACAGCTCCTGCCAGTGAGAGGGGCATGGGCTCCCAGAGGCAGTGCCCTCCCAGGGCTCTGTGTTGTAGTCAAGCTAAATTTGAGGCTTGTGTGTCTCCATCACTCTTGTTGTTTCCTCCATGCCAAGGTTCCGTGACAGGTTTTCCTGCTGAGACATCCCTGGGGATGGGAAGAGGAAACCAAATGCTGCCCCTGGCTGTTGCAGCCACAGGCTCCCATGAGACAGCAGCCACCAGTGAGCAGCCAGCAACAGCTGAAGATGCATCAGACACAAGCCTGCATGGTGGGTGCTCCCTGCAGCTTCCCAACACCCTCACAGGGAGCTCTCAGAGCCATGGTGAGGTGCCATTGACCCCTCTCTCACTGCAGGGTCTGGCGTGGCAGGCTTGCTCCAGAATGTCCAGCAACTGCTGGTGCAGATCCTGCAGACATCTCGGCGGCAGCAGGCACTACTGGAGAGCCTGGCCAGCGACACAGTCTCCCACCTCCACCTCCTTTCCCACAGCCTCGTGCAGGTGGGCGAGACCCTGCACCAACTCCTGCTCCGGCCACAGATCCATCCTGGCCCCATTGGCCACTACATCCCCCATATGCCCCTTTCTGAGGATGGCTCTGGAGTGCCCTGCTCCCCTGGTGCTCCCCACACTTCCCTGGATCACAAAGAGGAGCCTCAGCTGTCCCCCGATGCCAGGTGCATCACCCCATGAGTGCCACCATCACTGGCCACAGGAGCAACAGCTTTGCTACACAGCCACAGCACAGATCTTTATATCAGAGGTTCCAGATATTTTCAAAGTTTATACTAGAGAGACATTTTAATAAAATTAAAAATAGCTTTTCTACCAGTGATGGCAGCTGACCAATTCTTTCCCCCTCTCTGGGGAATGTTCCCCTTCTCAGTTTCGAGATGAACATGAGGGGAACTCAGCTATTTACAGACTCCAAGAAACTCTCTACCCACACAGTATGGGGCAGATGTACTTTTTCTACCCTTTACAGCAGCACCTGGGGTGGGCATCACGCCTTTTTTTGGGATGTGCTGCTGGCCTGTGGAGTAGAGCAGGGCTGCTGCCAGGAGTGGAGTCCAGGAAGCCCAGGGTGCATCCTTCTCCAAGGGAAGAGGTTGGGATGGATGATGCTGTTCTGGGAAAACAGCATGTGCAGCAGCCATTGTCCCTTAGTGTCCAGGTCCTTTGCAGGTTTCTTCCAAGGTGCAATCTGGGGCTTTCAGAGCAAGTGCTGTGGGCTTGCCACACACTCTGGTGAGGCCCTCCTGCTCCAGGAGGGATCCTCCTGCTTCAGTACATGGATCATTATCAGGTAACAGGAGCTGCAGACGTGGTATGGCATGTTGTGCCTAGAAAAGGAGCCTCTGACTCTTGCCTGGACCCCACCACCTTCACCAGTTTGTGCACATCCTCCATGGGGATGAGGCAGTGTGCTGTCTGCCTCCAGAATCTCCATGCCACATGCAAGAAGAGGAAGTGTACGTTGTGTAGGCATCATGAAAATGGTCCTGCCATGCCAGATGCCACTTGCTGGAGGGCTGGCAGGTGGCCGGCCACTTCTCTCAGAAGAGGAGGGAGACTGTGTAGAGGCCAGTCAAGCCCAGCCAGGAAGGTAGGCAAGCAGTCTGTGTTGAAGCAGTTGTCCATCCCATGTTGAGGATGTTTGGGTGATGGATCCACTGCCTGGATGCCATGCATGGCCTTCAGGCAGTCCATGTCCCTGTAGCTCCCCAACTAGATGTCCTTGAACTCCTGTCCTCCCCACTGCACACTCTGGCCCATTGCCTGCCCTAACATCTTCCAAGAGCTTGCCAGGGCACCCCACGTCTTCCAGGCACACATGCCAGCTGCCTGGAGCACCCCACATGTGGCCATGGAGGGGGACCAGGGGCACAGACACAGGGCCCAACAGCGAGGTGGTGGGGGGACAGCAAGTGTCACAGCAGCAGTGAGCAACAACATCACAGCCCAGACATCATCTGGCAGGGGAGAAACATGGGTGGGTAGTGCTGGGAAAGCCTGTGACCACCCCCACTGGCACTGTCCCTCATCCCATACCAGCTGTACACCCTGGCTTGGGGAGAAAGGCATGCCATAGAGACACGCTGGCCTCGTGATGCAGTGGGCAGGGAGCTGGGGGTTATGGGGGCTGCTGGGAGCAGGGCCAGCCCTGGTGCGCAAGATACTCCCACCAGTGCATACAAAATATTCTCTGTGCTCCCAAGCAAGAGCAGAAACCGCCTGGCTGCTGGCCAGCAGCTCTGGCCCCAAGTGATGGGGTCACTTGATTGCCTGCAAACATCTCTGCCCTGGATTTCTCTCCCTGGGACTTATCAGCATGGACAAAGAGAGAAGAGAAAGGTGGGATCTCCCTTCCTGAGCCCTGCTGCTTGCACTGGTGAAGTTGCAATGGTTGGGCTGTGGTTGCCCATGCTCCACACTTACCTTCCTGTGCTCCCCATCATTCCACTGATTGCCCTGTAGTGCTCCCAGCCAGCCTGCTGTGATCCCCGTCACACCACCACACTTCCCAACGCCTCGGGTTGCTCCCTGCCATTCTGCCATGCTCCTCACTTGAGCCTGCACCTACTCCTCCCAGCCCTGGGACAGCACAGCACCATTCCTTGAGCTCTGGGCTGCTGGGGCAGTGGGACAGGCTGTCTCCTCTCCGTGCAGGTCCCTGGCAGTGAAGGGAGCTCTGAGATGGGAGGGGGCTGGCTGCTGAGGAGGGACTGGGGATGGGGGAGGATGTCCTGGGGGCTGCAGGTCAGGAGTGCATGGGATAGCACCGGGGGTACAAGTGGGACATAGCGGTGTGATGGGAACCGGGGGTTTGAACGGTGCAGCGGGGTGCAGTGAGAGGTGCAGGGGGTCACAATGAGGGGTGCAGCGACGTTGCAGTGAGGGGGCCATTGAAGGGGGCAGTGGGGGGCACAGTGGGGTGCAGGGACTGCAGTGAAGTGCGGTGAGTGGCACTGAGGGGTGCAGGGGTGCACGGAGGGGTGCCGGGGCTGCAGCAGGGTGGCGGTGGGGCTGCACGGGGCTGCAAAGGGGACGCACGATGCAAGCACAGGGACCGGGGGCCCCAGGGCGCAGCTCCCGGCCCGTCCGTGAGTGACAGCCCAGCGACCAATAGGAACTCAGAAAGGAGAGGGTGGGCGGGTCTTCCCGGCACGTCACCCAATCGCAGGGGCCGTGGGGGAGCGGTGGGGGCGTAGGTGTGGCTTCCGTGACGTCACGGACAGGGCATCCCCGGTCGGGGCGGCCCCGGGGCTCCTGCGGGCGGATCCGGAGCCCAGCCCAGCCCGGCCCAGCCCAGCCCGGCCCAGCCCAGCCCGGCCCGGCCCAGCCCAGCCCGGCCCGGCCCGGCCCGGCCCGGCCCGGCCCGCAGAGGGTGGGGTGGCCTGCGAGCGCCAGGCCGTGGCGTTCGCACGGCGCCGTGTGCTCCATCCGCTGCCCGCAAAGCAGCCCATGTCCCACGCTTCCCGTGCCCCTGCTCCCCTCCAGCTTGGGCTCAGGGCGGTGTCAGAGGGGCGGTGGGGCAGGACAGGACCCCCAGCCTCTCCCCTGCGAGCCCCGAGTCCTGGGATGCAGTGCAGGTGGCGGTTCCGGCAAGGATAACAGGCTGGCAGATGGGAATGTGGATGTGGAAGGGTCCGAGCCGTCGCCTTTCCTGGGGATGTCCATTGCAAGCCCTGCCTGGTGAGGCTCTCCCCCTCCAGACCCATGCTGGAGTGACAGCCAGAACACAGGAAAAAAAGGTTGGGCTTCTTCTGGGGCATGCAGAGTCTTCTTCAGGCTAGAAATACAAGTGAAAGCACCAGCATGTCTCAGGAGGATTTTAGTGTTGCTGTCTGGTAGCCCAGGAACCTTGAGGGTGCTGCTCTGGGCAGCCTGTGCATACAATTCCTTCTGCCTCTATCACAGACACCAGCTTGCCACAGGGCAGCTGAAACCAAACAGGAAACTGCCAGGGCAGCTAGAATGGATCCCTGGGGTAGTGGAGGCTTGTGGGGAGGATTTTTCCCTGATTTTAACCCATTCTGGAACAAGGGAAAGCTGTACCACTCTCCTGATCCTCTCCCTCCTGCATGGCCTGCCCCACTCCAGAGCCTATGTTTAATATCTAGAAGGATTGGAATAGTAAGGTGGTAACCTGCCGGTGGCAGCGAGTTCTTTGCCCCGTGCCTCGCTCCCAGCCAGCACACTGTGACCTGGAGGTGTTGCTCTGTGCCCACTTGAGCCCAGTCCCACCTCACAAACCTGGAGTACAGGTAGTATGACCCAAATGACTGCCCTGAGAGCAGCTTTGGGCTGTGTCTGCAGTTGGCTGCTAACAGTTGAATGCTCAGTCCTGTGTCTTCCTCACTACATCAGCCGTTTCTCTTTCCTGTCCTAAAGAGTGCCCCAAGGACAGGGTGATTTGGTGAGGTGACAGCTCACCCTGCAGCCCTGCTCCAGTGGCCACCCTGGTAAAACCCCTGGCCACAGCAAAAGCATAAGATATGGGCATTAGGAACAGGACATGGCTCTTGAGCCTTATGAAATCCTTCTCATAATCCCCAAGTACTGAAGGAAAGATTTACCATGGTGGATGTGACTCCTACCAGCCCCCTGTGCAGACACCACCCCTACATCTTCATGCCTCTCCCTGTGCCAGTGGTCAGTGTTCACACCTCAGTCCTCTGTCCCAGGCTACTGGATGCCCAGCCTGCTGCCAGAGATGGGCCTGTGGCCACTCGGGCAGGGTGTCCAGAGGCATGAATGCCACTGGGCTCTCAGGCAACCCAGCTGGCCTTTGGACCCTTCTCTACTGCACTTTCTTTTAAAAACGTGATGTTTTTCAATGGAAATAGAATCACTTTCACCAGCAGCTCATAGTTCTTCATATGTGGAACAGAAGGCAATGACAGCTTGTTTAGGCTCATGGACATGACCTGAAGGTCTCACACACCACAAAACAGCACCCACAATCTCCCCTGCCAAACAACCATCCAGACGGGATGCAGCACAGCATGGATTAGGCAGAGGTATAATTCCAAAATCCAGAACTTAAGTGAAGCAGGGAGAGGGTGTTTAAGGACAAGGAGGCGAAGCTGCTTTGATGTGTATCAGGATGTTTATCTTGACATCAAAAGCCCTAGTTCTCTTTTTTTAATGAAGTGGCTCCTCCCTTTGAAGTGGATCCTGTGCTGCACATGGCTGCAGCTCAGGGAGATCCTGCACAGACTTCACCCTCCTCAAACATTAATTTTTCTCTTGTGATTTGCCTGGAAACTATGAGACCAAAGTGAAAACTCAGAGATGAGAGCAGCCAAGCTGTCTTTGGACCTGGCAGACAGAGGATGGGGTCAGATGGGTTTTTGAAGGCAGGGTGCAGGGAGTTGCTGTGTCTGGGAGCGCTTGGCACCTCCCTGCAGCAAGTACAACCCCGGGGCGTACAAACATTTATGAGGTCCTTTGAGAGGAGGTGGGTGTTGCTCCAGGTCCTCCCCCACAACAGGGAGTAAGCCTCCAGCTCAGATTATCCATCTTCCCAACAGGAGACGACTTCATTAGTTAATTAGAACAACAATCCTCAGGGGCTCATCTCTGGGATTTGTAGTTGTGCTGGCAGGAGATTTGCTGACTGCAGGCAAGCCCTGGGGCAAAGCTTCTCAGGAGGACTTGGCACACGGAGCCCTCAGGGACTTACCTCCCTTCCTGCTGAGCCAGGAGCCTCTGGATTGCACTTGTTCCAAGCCCATTTAATTTT